TTTGTTTTCGGACAGCAACGTTATTGTGACAAAGTTTCGTTTTGGTGAATGTTTGATGAAACTTGTACCAGTGTTTTTGTTTTTCATACAAGAACTTTAGAAGTGATAACTTTCTTTTTCCCGGTAGTTTAGTCGTCTTGATCGCATTTGGCTTAAGGAATTTATATTTTTCATTTTTAAGCGTTATCATTTGGATGAAAATAATTTTATGTTACAGTCAATATGCTACGTCCATATGTAGCGTCGGGTATGGACTGATGGGCCCATCTCGCTTATGTGAGAATAAAATACTGAACAATGATTCCATATGGGAATGAAGAAATGACGTTTGTTAAAACAAAAGAAGACACACTTCCGTCATGTGCTTGGAATGATATTATTATTCCCCAACCAACAGAAGAAACCATATACTATAAGTAATAACCTACGTTCAATGCTGATAATCCGTCTAAAATAAATAAATATTCATAAAGCTAATTTATATATTTCATAAATGAGTGAGTGAGTTTAGTTTTACGCCGCTTTTAGCAATACATTTAATAAATGCCCCTAATAAAGAACAAAGAGGTATAACGCCAATGGAATTTTTTCCCCCGCATTTTCTTGTCTCAACAGGGATTCATGTCACTAGTTCATTATTGAAATCCACCAAAAAATACTGGAAAATACATAACACATTATGTAATCGCATTTTAGTAATGGCAATCTTCCATAGAGGACCAGTAGTCTGTCAGTTTTTTCACTCAGGTAAAATGGTCGACACATGAGGTGGCAGAAAGCGGGATGCACTTGCTCCGTGTGATACATCTAAAAAGACTACTTATACTACCCCAAAAAAAAAGAAACGCATAGGCGCTTTGTATTTTTAAAAATCTATTAATTACCTATTGTGTTCAAACAATCGTCAAAATATGTAACAAAAGTGTTGATAACATGATTTTACACAATTGGACAAGTAAAAAATCGACTATACCTGAAAATGTTGATTTTGATGAGATTTCTTACAAGGATTCAAAACGCATCGCCACAACACAGCAAAAATCACCTTCCAGTTGAAATTGTGCAGCAGAAAGAGCATGTACTGTCTGGCTATAAAAATCCAGACTACTTTCGAAAATCGGCATTCGTTTTGAAGCAGCTTCAAGGTCAAATCACTACGCCACGTCTTGACGCTGCGACACGGAACAACACCATTGAAAGAATACACGCTGGCAATTACCTAGCTAAGATACATAGCGTTCACTGACATGAACGCTATGCACCTCCATAGGCCGCAATGGTGGAAATCCTTTGTCGCACTTTCGCGCACTCGTTACGACTTTTGCACACGAAAAACATATATGAATTACTTCTTTGTACTTATATCTGGGCGGTGGGGTAGCCTAATGGTTAAAGCGTTGGCTCGTCACGCCGAAGACCCGGGTTCGAATCCCCACATGGGTACAATGTGTGAAGCCCATTTCTGGTGTTCCCCGCCGTGATGTTGCTGGAATATTGCTAAAAGCGGCGTAAAACCAAACTCAGTCAGTCAGTCAGTACTTATACCTACACGTGCGCCCTATTTTCGTTATCAAAATATTCAAAAATATATATTTACAAGCCATCAAACATCTCAGTCGATAGCTCACATATGAGCGGGGCCATTTTGAATCACGTGACCTGTGACGCGAAGGGGATATCCCTCCCAAAAATAGTAACACACGTGTTCCATACCTCGTTGCTTGTTTACAACATATTTTCATACATTTTAGGCAATTAAAACGATTGTATGGAGATTTTCGTTTCCAATCTAGACTGACTGACCACCCCTGCTTTTTTCAACAGCTGTTTTCAAAGGAATTGCTGGTGAGTTTTCAGTGCTTCATATAATATAAGATTATTGCTGTCACCTTCACAGTTCCATGGGTGTCTCTGTACTACTCCTGAATATTTGCCTACAAAACACAGTTTACTAATTGAATTTAGGACTTAAATATTTAATGAGTTCACGAATTAATTATCTATAAATTTCATGTATACCCAAAAACCTTAAATATTTCTCAGTTCACAACTCTCCTACCTTGAATAATATTTTAAATATTTCCATGTTGTATTAGGTCTCAAGCACCAGCTACAAACCTTGACAAAATCATCTTTTCATGTCCATATTAGCAACCAAATGGCCAAAAAAGTATTATTTATCATCATGAATTATAAACAAATACTAAAATAAGGGGATACATCAATAAATCAATTGTTGAATGAGGGGATCATTCAAATTACAGCACACTGCCAAATATCATACTTAAACTCTTGTGCATACATCATTGGACAGAAGGCTTTGATTTGTTAGGTCGACTGAAGAAAATTCATTTGCAAACATTACAGTACCTCTTATCTTTTGACAGCAAAAATAGCAGGCTTTCCAAATTATCAATGAAGTGTTAGTTTAGAAAGTCTGCATTTCAAGGTGCAATAATTAGATGTTTATTGAGAACATTAACAATGATAAAGATATGAAATTGTGCATGAAGTTTAATCTTTTTGAAGGTATAAGTTTAAACTCATGTTAAATTAAAGTGATAATTAATAATTAACATTGATATGCACTTTATTTACTGGTATTCAAGGTTGAAAGTTGAGAGAAGAAACCATGGATGACACTGTCTGTGCCCATTGCAAGGGCAATGTCAAGAGAAAAACAAAGGGATGGAAGAGATATAGTTACAGCTTAGTGTTTGACGACATGTCTATTTTTTGGTGAAACTCACTGTTATAACTTATCAAAACAAGAGTCATCAAAAGATGACAAATCCCCCCCGGCTCCAGAAATTTGAAAGAACATCTGACGGTTACTGATAGTCCAACTTGATCTTTTTTACTTAGTCCAAATTGTTTCCATGGAAATCATGAAAATATAAATACTAAAACTTTGCAAATAACAAAAGGCACCACTTCAAGATTTGTCTCATATATCTGCTACGTTTTGTTGAAAGATAATGAAAGGTTTTCGATGGTTGCTCCGGAAAAGAAGTCCAAATCGTTTCCATGGAACCGAGAAATATGAAAATGTCAAAAATCTGCAAATAGCCAAGGCACCACTTAAGGTTCTGATTGATATTTATACCAATTTGTGGTGAAAAATATTGAACGGTTTTACAGTTCTGCTCCGGAAAAGAACACTACCACCAATTTCGGTCAAAGTCGAAATTGTTGCCATGGAAACACACACAAAAATATTTTATACAGAAATCCCAAACTACCAAAAGGCACCAGTACACCACCAGATCTATCTCTGTGCCAAGTTTGGTGAAGAAATAGAAAACGGTTTTGAAGTTCTGCTCCGGAAAAGACGAACGTGCACGGACGGACGGGCGGAGCGCATTTTAAGAATTTGACATTTGGCTTTGTGCTGTAATTTGAATGATCCTTCCCCTTTTAACAATTGCTTTCTAGATGTATCCCCTTGTTTTAGTATTTGTTCATAATTCATGATGAAAAACACATTCCCTTGATGTAATCAACATCTAATTTCCTATCCAAGGAGGAAATAAATATGATGATGAAGGTAGGAGAAATGTGAAATGAGAAATATTTAAGGTTATATGGGACAAATGAAATTTATAGATAATTGATTCGTGAACTCGTTAATTATTTAATTCCTAAATTCTAATAGGTCTTATTAGTAAACTGTGTTTTGTAGGCAAATATTCAGGAGTAGTACAGAGACACCCATGGAACTGTGAAGGTGACAACAATAATCTAATATTTTATGAAGCATTGAAAACTCATCAGCATTTCCTTTGAAAACAGCTGTTGAAAAAAGCAGGGGTGGTCAGTCAGTCTAGATTGGAAACGAAAATCTCCATACAATCGTTTTAATTGCCTAAAATGTATGAAAATATGTTGTTAACAAGCAACGAGGTATGGAACACGTGTGTTACTATTTTTGGGAGGGATATCCCCTTCGCGTCACAGGTCACGTGATTCAAAATGGCCCCGCTCATATGTGAGCGATCGACTGAGATGTTTGATGGCTTGTAAATATATATTTTTGAATATTTTGATAACGAAAATAGGGCGCACGTGTAGGTATAAGTACAAAGAAGTAATTCATATATGTTTTTTCGAGCGCAAACATCGTAACGAGTGCGCGAAAGTGCGACAAGGGATTTCCACCATTGCGGCCTATGGAGGTGCTGCATAGCGTTCATGTCAGTGAACGCTATGTATCTTAGCTATGTCAGTGAACGCTATGTATCTTAGCTAGAGATTACCAATCTTCTGTTGCCAGGCGTCTGAATGTTAGTCTGAGTACGATATCACGGCTTGCAGCTCGTTACAACCAAACAGGAATAACAAATGACCGTCCCCGTACAGGCAGACCTCGAGTCACCACTGCAGCCAAAGATCGGTACATCCGGGTACTTCGTTTGAGTGATCGTACTGCCACGGGTGACAGCACAGCAACCAGGGTGCCTGGACTTCGGAGGATATCCGGAGGAGAGCCAGGAGATGCGACGTCGGGACCGTGCTACGTCGTCACCCTCGCGATCAACATCTCAGTTATCTTAAGTTATCCACTTGGTTGTATAGACATTTCCTTCTTCTAAACTGATGTAAACAGTCATGCACTAAAGTCTATTTGTGGACGAGTTATACATGTTTGAAAATACAACATTTTCGCAACAGATTTCTGGGTTATGCGTTTCTTTTTGGGGATAGTATATTATCAATGTGACTCTAGAGACAAAATTCAATAATAAAATCTCTATTGTTTGCAGACTATTTTTGGAAAATATACAGATTTTGTCTCTGCCAAGCTTTTCGTGTCACATTGTCAATGCAAAATAACCAAATGTGGAAAGTAATGTCAAACAGGATTTGAGGATGGAATTTGAGGTTCTCTCATATCTAATAATATGTAATGTACTGATGGCTTATTGATCACTGCATATTTCATCTCATACATACATTTATCTTGTTGACCCATACAAAATCATGTTCACGTTTACTTGTAGTCTTTGGAATGGCGCCCCACTGGAGTACGATTTGGCTGGTGTGTTTTGGACTGACGACTGTCATAATAGAGGCAAGACGCACACGGCAACATGTACAAGGTCAGTTACTTTGTTGTTGTTCTGGTTAGAATCTTTCCTGCTCTTCACTTGCACCAAATGACACAGTATAAGGAAGGATAACAATATATGGATGAACAGCTTCTTTATGGCTTGTATAACTTGTTTAAGCTCCTTTATACTTTTGCTGTTCATCACTTGCTTGATAACAGTGTTAGAACATACACGGAAACGTCGCTCTCCCAGCAATAATAAAGTTGTTCATCCATATATTGTTACTCTTCCTTACTGCCCCAACTCCTACATGCCTCTGAAAGAAGTTGCCACAGTATATAAAGAATGTCCTACTTAGCATCATGTGCCTACTTTTGTCTCAATACAGGCCGTGATTTCGACTGTCACTGTCAGGACAAACCCTGTCACTCCCCGATGGACTGTACAGGAAATTGTGACCCAGGCTGGTATGGAAGCTACTGTCAAAAACGTAAGTGAGAAGGAATATGTGTGTGTGTGTGTGTGTGTGTGTGTGTGTGAGAGAGAGAGAGGAGGTGGGTTTTACGCCGCACTCAGCAATATTCCAGCTATATGGCGTTGGTCTGTTAAATAATCAAACCGGGACCAGACAAGCCAATGATCAACAGCATGAGCATCGATCTACCAACTGGGAACCGATGACATGTGTCAAACAAGTCAACAAGACTGCCAACCCGATCAAGGTAGTCTCCTCTTACGACAAGCTTAAGCCTCGGTTACTGAAGATCAATTTAACCCGGATCTTCACGGTTGAGAGAAAGAGAGGGTATACAATAGGGTCATACGTAACGTGGTACTGGCCATTCTCTAATAGACAGAGATGGTTTCCAGTGTTATTTTCGTGCTTAATATTGCATCTTTAGTTCTGACATGTATCAGCGATACATCAATGTTGGCGCATCACTACATGTTCTACATTAAGAACCACTGAGTACATCATTAGCTATGATCTCTGTTGTGGTATCTCAACATTAAGAACCACTGAGTACATCATTACCTATGATCTCTGTTGTGGTATCTCTACATTAAGAACCACTGAGTACATCATTAGCTATGATCTCTGTTGTGGTATCTCTACATTAAGAACCACTGAGTACATCATTAGTTCTGACATGTATCAGCGGTGATCTCTGTTGACATTTCTCTACACTAAGGACCATTTCTTTCTTTCATCTCAGAAAATGTGGCGCTAAATCGCACTGCGACACAAAAAGGTATTTACCAGACTTACCATGCTTATAAGGCTGTGGACGGCAACACCACTACAGACTTCAACTCCGGGACATGCTCACATGCTGCAGAAGGGGAACAAAACAGGAACTCTTGGTGGAATGTAGCACTGTCAACAGACCACCAGATAAAATATATCACAATCTACAATCGGAAAGACGGTAAGTGGCCTTTCATAGCAGGCAAAATGAATGAATTTGGAGAGTTATGTTACAATCCATAATCAGGTGAACACCAACATCTGTTTTGGCGTATTTACATACCTGCAATACGATGGCGCTTTATTAACGTATGGTATAAATATCATACCAAAGACACCTGAAGCTCGCTGTGCTCTTTGCTGTGGAGCATTCTGTAAGGTGTAAATTGTAAATCTATGTCTGAAGCACACACCGAGCCTTTTAGAAAGTGGTCTAATGTGACATCTGTTATATTTGGGATTACACTTTGACAGTAAAGTATATATTCTTGTACTTTTTGTGGTTGAGTCCCATGCGGGCAACTTGTTTACTATGAAATGTCAATGACCACTTGTAACATTTTACTGATATCACACTGTTATAGAGCGAACACGTTCGAGTATGATATGAGGATACAATTTGTTGAGAAGTACTGATGCTGTTTTACATCTATTTCATGAAGATGTCAACAAGGACAGAAGGAAGGGAATGGAAGTTCTGGTAGACGGGACGCTATGTTTCCAATGGCCTAAGGACAGTTTCCCTCGTACCATCTGGCATGTTACCTGTAACAAAACTCTGACAGGAAGAAATGTCACCATTACAATCCTTGCAGACTCCCTCAGCCTCTGTGAAGTGCAGGTGTTTGGTGGGTATAATCTAGCACCCATCTCGACTACTTACAGGAAGATCGATTTTAGAGCCTGATCAAAATGAAACAGAAAAGGATGTAAATATATGGCATTGTTATGCATGGAGGTGTTTAGGAACAATGGACCGTATGAGATGGTAGTTATTTTTTTAAGAAACAATGTAAATGTACTTTAATCGTTTTGAAACCCTGACATTGGGATCTCATGGATAAAATAGCGTCGAGGCAACAACAGGCGTCATAGAGTGGGACAAACGAGGGTTTGGTAGATAGTCTGACAAGACCAACAACAGGCGTCATAGCGTCAGAGAGTGGGACAGACGAGGCGTTTGGTGGGACAGAGACTCTAGAGACAAGACAAACAACAACAGGCGTCATAGAGTGGGACAGACGAGGGTTTGGTAGAGAGTCTGACAAGAGCAACAACAAGCGTCATAGAGTGGGACAGACGAGGGTTTGGTAGAGAGTCTGACAAGAGCAACAACAGGCGTCATAGAGTGGGACAGAAGAGGGTTTGGTAGAGAGTCTGACAAGAGCAACAACAGGCGTCATAGAGTGGGATAGAAGAGGGTTTGGTAGAGAGTCTGACAAGGGTGTCTTCGACTGGAACATTGTTCCCAGGTTTGGTTTGGTTGTTGTTTAACGCCGCACTCAGCAATATTCCAGCTATATGGCGGCGGTCCAAAATCCGTGATCAACAGCATGAGTATCTATCTACGCAATGGGGATACGATCCAGTTAGTCGCCTCTTACGATGGGTTACTGAAGACCAATTCTAACTCGGATCTCCACAGGTCATTCCAAGGTTTGGGGCCAATAGGGATATCCACATGGAACGCACTATGAAACCCACATTAGTCAAAACAAACAAAGTAAACTAGATTCTTTATGAACACTACTTGTGATACACATTGTGTGTTCACACAACTGCCCGGGTCTCGTTTCTGTCTCTGTTCATGTTAAAATACTGTGAAAAACAACAACCGAATATCAAAAGGAATAACACGGAATTGTTTTTTTCAGTCTGTAGTGACTTCTGGTTCGGAAAAGACTGCGAAAAGCAGTGCAACTGTTTAAACGAGTCTGAGATTTGTGACAAAGGGGTAGGTCAGTGTGGAAGTGGATGTCCAAAAGGATTTAATGGAACAGACTGTCTTCAAGGTGAGGAACAAAGCACGTCAATGTAACCTAATACTTTAGTAATATCAAGAAAGCAGATCGGAGTGTCCTGGTAAGAACATAGACTAATAAGGTCTTTTGCGACATGGAATATATCAGTGTACCACATGTACCGCATGTACCACATGTACCATGTTAAGATAGTGAGTCTCAGTAACGATCAAATATCAAAAGACACACATACATACAATATATGTCATTACAGAGTGTGTGAATGGAACCTATGGCCTCAACTGCTCTCACAAGTGTGGACATTGCCTGAACAACACCTTCTGTGACAGAACTAACGGCACATGTCTCCAAGGCTGTGACGATGGGTGGACCGAACCTGCTTGTGACAAGGGTAGGTTAGAAAGCCTGTATTTAATATACTGGGTTTTCGAATAATACGGAGTCTTAGATCAATGACTTAAAACGTGTTTTTTCACACAAACATACTCTGCCATCGTATCGCATGGTGACAATCACTGGATTGCCTGGTCCAGACTCGATGCGTTTGCAAACAACATCGTACAGCTGTAACACCACTAAAACAAATATATACTCATGATATAGTCACAACTGTACAATCGACTCTGCTTTTGGCAGAGATTTCTTATGGATGTGAAAAAAGGGTTCTTTCAATATGTCCAACAACACATCAGTGTCAGATTGACCAGTGATTCCAATATACTTCACAGCATCAGTAATGTAAAGCAGTTTCCGATGTGTTTCTCAAAGTCTTCCTTCACAGCTTGCGATGGCCAATATGGTAAGAACTGTGCATCGAAATGTGGACACTGTAACGGAACTAACTGCAACCACGTGGACGGCAGCTGCCCAATGGGCTGTCAACCAGGTTGGAATGGAACGACGTGTGAAATGCGGCTTCAAGGTTAGAACCATTATGCTGTAAATGTATTATACTCCATTGGAGAGAGAGAGAGAGAGAGAGAGAGAGAGAGAGAGAGAGAGAGAGAGAGAGAGAGAGAGAGAGAGAGAGAGAGAGAGAGAGAGAGAGAGAGAGAGAGAGAGAGAGAGAGAGAGAGAGAGAGTATAGGAGGTGAAGACACTTAAATAGAGTGGACCAACATATAGCCTACGATTTTCTTCTATTGAACAATACATTTTATCTTTCATGTTTTGTTTGCAGTAGACGGAAGCTCTCTGTTTGGGAGGACCAATCTAGCAGTTGGGTTGGTCTTGCCTTTAGTCATCATCTTCGTTGTTGTTGCTGTTGGTGTTGCTGTTGCTGTGATATGGCTGAAAAGGTATGTTACAAGGCGCGTGTATTGTAATCTACTAAACTCTAAGGTAAACACAGTGACATATGCCAGAACAACTTCCTAGCTCAATGCTATAAGTGTTAAACGTATATTGCGAATCCATGCAACATTATCCTTGTGTTACAGGAGATCTGACAAGTCACCAAAGGCATCGCACACACCCAAATATGTTCCCGGTCAGTTGTTCAGTAAGTGGTTCTACATAGTAGGCTGTGTGACAAATATTTATCTGAAAACGTTTATTGCACACTCAAAGGTTCTATATTCAAATTAACTGGCTGTAGTGCAACCTGTTATATCTGGGTGTTGAACTCCCCCGATATACATTCCAAGTATATGGATACAACAGTGTATAACATGTGATGTTAATACAACAGTAACACAACTATACCATGAGAGCCTCCGGTTTGAAAGTCACATGCACAGTTGTTAAAGGTATAAACGCGTGCGTCTTTCAGATGTTGAGGATGAGGACGAGGCGTTCTCTGTCGAGGTAGAATGTGACGTCCCTGAAGATGATGATGCAACCTACTGCAACTGGATCTCCCCCTATGTCGTGCTGGAGAAACTGGCCCAGTACATACAAAGGAAACAGGAAGACAAAACTGCCTTTGAGAATGAATACAAGGTACCACTGACCATTTCATATTCGCGGGTGCGGATGGGGCCTTGTATTGCGACAAGATATTCTTTCACATAATTTACGTTTTAAGAATACATACAAGGTAAAACACTGATCATCTGATGTTGGGGCTGCAGCTTGGACCTGGTGTGAAGACCATCTGCAGCAGCAAAACCAGATAAAAAACTCTTATCGTGCCAATTTTTCTATTTTCGACAAAATCTCTGTCCCCCTTCCTAGAAATATTAAATTCACAGTCCCCAAACTAGTATATTATTATGCGCTTGACTGATCGTTGTGGTGACCTGATATGTGTTGAGCTAGACCTTAAAAAACCCATTATGCTGAATTTATGAATTAAATAATTAAGTACCCGACTTTTTTATTGTGCACACTGGTGCTGTATACTTTGCAATGTAATGGTTTTTATTTTTATTTGATCACCTAGATGCTTCCATACGGGATCAGAGGGAAAGTTGAAGAAGGAAAAAGCCCGAAAACAAACCGAAAAATAGATTTGCTGCTTTATACCCATGTACGTCTACGGTTAAGTGTACCCAAAGTGTCATAATGTATCAATGAAAATTTGATTTATTAAAGTAGACAATTAACGTGACTGTCTCCACGACACACTGAAACGCATATGGAAGAATACAATAAATAATTTGGTCACAATTTCAAACTAATCACAAAGACTTCTAGGTATTGTACTTGTCTCATTATGTCAGATGATGACTCGAGAGTGATTCTTGAAAGAAGTGGAAATGCTACATCCGCGTATATCAACGCCAGCTATATACCGGTTCGTTTGTTTCCTATCGGAGCCTTGTGTTGTAAAACAAAACGATTCTATCCAACTTCTAAACCTGTTAAAAAAGAATCAGATCATTTTGCACCATCAATTGAAGACATAAAAAAGCATTCTGAATTTGCGGAATTTATTGGTCATGTTTCTAAATGCAGTAAAGGTAATCCCATGATGTATAGAGGGAATCAATCTAAGGTACAAATAATACTGAAGTACTGTATTGAAGTTTAGGATAATACTGTTTGCGTTTTCTCGTTTGTTGAAGGGTTTCCCTGATGGTTCTAAATACATCGCCACACAAGGTAATTCTCCTGTCTGTTTCAGTCTATGTAAGTCGTGTGTAATTCATGCAAATATCAAAGTTGCACATTTACTAAGTCGTTATGTCGTCAGTTGATGATTATGCTCTAATTGGATACTCCAACGCTCTCACACACACATACACACGTACACACGCACGCACACACCACGTCACCCTCTCACGCAATTCTTTACATGTTGTTAATCCCTGTTTCATTAACAATAACGTTAACTTAACATAATTATCACAGGTCCCACACCAGCAACAGTGGGCGACTTCTGGACAATGGTTTGGCAGCAGCGGGTTAGCAAAATAGTCATGGTGACACAGCTGAAGGAGATGCAGAAGGTAGGTAGATGCATTCTGTAGCAGTCCCGTAAAGATTCGGGTTAGAATTCATCTTCAGCCACCCATACTTGTCGTAGGCGGCGACTTACAGGATAGGAGGGTCAGGCTCGCTGACTGGGTTGTCGCAATTTCGTAGATCGATGCACATGTTGTTAATCAGTGGATTGTCTGGTCCAGACTCGATAGTTCGTTTAGCATCAAACGCATACTATCACTTTTCTACAACGGTGGTTTTGTTTAAAGTATAAAGTAAAACTATATCCAATGTCCTTGAGGTACGCATCACTTTCTTAGTTAAGCTTTCATAGTGGACATGATGTGTCACATCAGTGCAGCCCTCTTGCACGGCCATAGCTATCCTACTAAATACCGAAGGGTTGGATGGATGTTCAAAACAGTGACTCTCGTGTATGAGACTTATTTATTTCATCTGTGAGTCTCGATCCCTGAATGTTCGATGGAAGTAAAACTGGCTATGGGTTATGTCTGTTTGGGCAGGTGAAGTGCGAGCAGTACTGGCCTGAGAAGAACAAAAGCAAAAAATGCGGTGACCTTACTATCGGACTTGAAACCGAGGTGACAAGAACTGACTACACGATCAGGAAACTGACCGTAAACAATGCCAAGGTATTCACTTTTCCAAAGAGGTAAGGTACAGTACGGTACGGTACGGTGAGCATTAACGCAGGTCGGACATTCTAATGTAACGACTAATTTACCGTTCAGTAAAAGCGTTCGTAGTATTGCATCGTTCATAAGCCAATGATATTATATAGAGTTACGATAGGTCGCAAAGTTACGAACGCTTTGTGGATCGGGACCCTTACTTATTATTCGTGTCGTATGTTCTTCTGTGTTTAGATTGTGAATTCTGTGAACTAATGAAGTTGTAACTGTGTGACTTATGGATAAAAGTTCTTTACGTCTTTCAATACAACGTTTCGATTCTGGTATCAGAACGTTTCTCTACCAAGTGGTTTTCAGCATTACAGGCGTGATGAAATGACTATTGCAAAATAATATCAATTCTGTGTGTCTCCCCGTATTCATATTGAGATGTTCCTTATCTATGGACATCCATATAGATTTCTTTCAGTAGTCATTGATGTATTTTTCTAACGGCAATGTTCCTGTAAGCAGGGATCAGAGACGAGAAGGGTCTCCCACTTCCAGTTCCTCACCTGGCCAGACCATGGTGTCCCATCAGCTCCTGCTCTGGTCAGCTTTGGAAGAGAGTCAAACAACTGGACGGTGCAGAGGCGGATCCGTTGGTGATCCACTGCAGGTGAGAAGTGACCATCATGGATTTGGTGGAGCGTGTAAGCATGGTTAATGGTGCATTAAAGCATAATGTCTCCTGAAATGTAAAGTGTAAATGATGCTGATCATGAAGGAGAAGTGGTGAGGATATGGCGAGACAGGTTGATGTGGGGACAAATATCCAATATTGCTGACAATGGAAGATGGTCGTGTTTGATGGTGGATGAACACGTGCCTCCTGAAATGTAACCTGTCTAAATACAATCGGTAATGGTGGGATACGTACCTAGACGAGGTTGTCGAGTTAGTGGTACACAAAAATGGAAATGTCCACTCAAATGTAAGATGTTTGAATTCAGTCAGGACCGTGACAAGATACCTGACTTGTTTTTGTCAGCGCTGGAGTGGGGCGGACTGGGACGTTCATCGCTCTGGACTATCTGATGGTCCAGGCTGAGGCAGAGCACAGGGTCAACGTGTTCCAGTGTGTGTCTAGGATGAGGCAGGCCAGGATGAACATGGTCCAGACAGTGGTGAGTATGAACAGTGTCAACTACAAGCACAATCACACACACTATTCTTTGTAGCAGTGTAAATCATGGTTACCATGTTGCATTCCTAGGAAGACGTTTTACAGGTCGCGCGTTTTTGAATGTCATGCTTGTGTTTCCCTCTGTTTTTCAGGATCAATTCGAGTTCGTCCATATCGTGGTCCTTGAGGCCCTGGAGAGTAGAGGCACATTCTACACAATGACTGAATTCAACCGCATTTTCGGACGGGAGAGAAACTACAGCAAACAGCAAGACACTACCTTGAAGAAGGAATTTAAAGTAACGCTAAACATTACGATAGTCCTATAAAAAGAACCCCAGAATAAAACGATGGAAGAAAGTCCAATAATTAATTCAATTGAGTAAAATTACTTTAAAAGTGAATAGGTTTAGAAAATAGAAACAAAATATAACAATCCAATACTCTAAAAGTGCCAGTTTTAAGAAAAATGAATAAACATTCAGCTTTAAATTTGTTCCATTTTTGTGTTTTTCTTTTAAGTCAATTCAAGTACAAAGACCACGACAGACAGAAAAATCCATTTCCGACGCGATGCTTGAAGAGAATGTGTCCAAAAACAAGAACAAAGCCATACTTCCAGGTGCCTTTTTTACTTGATATTCTTTTAGGACCCTGTTCAGCTAACGTTTAATTTGCCACATAACGGTTAAGCTGTGACTGCATTTTATGTACCCCTAAGTTGACGCCCTTTCATCATATCTTCTATAATTAGATAAATATATGTAAATTGTTTCAGGTAACAAGTCACGGCCGTATCTATCCACCCCAGCTGAAGGCTACAACAATTACATCAATGCTGTTACTCTACCAGTATGTCCTTATTTAAATTAACGCCGGACTATTCCAGTTGTATGTGACGACGCTCTGTCAATGATCGAGTCTGCACCAGACAGCCCAGTGCCTGACAGCATGAGCATTGATTCGCAAGTAGCGATCAGATGACATACATCATTCAAGTCACTGTATCGATCACCCGACCCCAGAAGGGGCCTCCTACGACGAGAATGGGTTGTATCCTAACCCGGTTTTTCACGACGAACGTCTATATCAGCACATAAAGATATTGGTTAAGATAATACTCCTATGAAGAGTGAGTGAGTATAGTTTTCCGCCGCAGTCAGCAATATTCCAGCTATATGGCGGCGGTCTGTAAATAATCGAGTCTGGACCAGACAAGGGGTCTTACGACAAGAATCGGTTACTGAAGCTCAATTCTAACCCGATCTTCGCGGTTTACTCCTATGAAGAACTATATTACAGATCATTCCCGTATTCGGTTTGTCTTTAAGCTAATGCTATTTATTTCATTTGTCGGGATAAACTATAGCGGCTGGCCGGTGAGATGTAGACATTGATATATATTTCCTCTCCAGTCAGTGATGAGGTCCTGCATGGTGATCGCTACTCAGACGCCCATGGAGAACACCGTGGTAGACTTCTGGAGACTTGTACACGACCATGACTGCTTCACCATTGTGTGTCTGGACGATTCCCAGGTAATACAACCAGTGTCTGCTCCAACAGATTGGCTGGAAGAGTAGCTACTGCCTATCGTTAAATCCGCCAGGATGGTTACAGTAGGTAATCTGGTTAATCGTTGGTGTCGTACTCCGATGTCTTGCATTGTGGTTACTGATATCAGTCATTGGTTTGTACAAGGCCAAGGCCACGGTATTGTAGCTGGAAAGTTGCTGAACAACCAACCATCCAATGGACTAATACACCCATACACTATGACAGCATCGTTAACACAATAAACTTAACTTTTCAAATCCTTATTCTGGGAACGGCAAAGTTCTGAATTAACGATCAATGTTAAATATAATCAACGATAATATTTTCTCCAGGATGTTCAGCGTCTTTACCCTGGCACCAAGGGGAGCCTCCAGACTGGTCCGTTCAACATTCGGCAATCTCAAAAGAGAAATATGGGAAGTTTTACTGAGAAGACACTCGTGCTGACCCATAATAAACAGGTTTGGTAGTCTTAAAACCTTCCGGTTTCAGTTCCACCAACGAGTAACCTATACGAGGCCTATGTTTGGTGTCCTCTGTTAAGATATGGCTTGAATGTTGCTGAAGGGGCTTATTGATCAACATATGTGTTGGTGAGATTAGGACTTAGGGAAACAACTCTTAGTGTTGTACAAATAACCACTAAGTATAAGGCTGTAGGACATTAATTGAAACAAAGATATCCACCAGGAGTGTTAACAATGCTATTCCAGGCCAGCGATTGCCTCACACTTCCGTCACGGACGTTTCTACTTGCATTCAAACTGCCGACACTAATTCCGTACGGATAAGTGTTTGCATCACTGTGTGTGAAGTTTGAATGTGTATTGTAACATATTTCAGCAAGGAAGTCCTCAGACCGTCAGTTTCCTGAGCCCCAACTCTCTAGGGGGATCAATGTCACGTGACACTGCTGGGTTGCTGGAGTTGGTCAACAGAGTGGACACAACACTTCGCCAAGACCAGCACAAAGTTCTCGTCCACTGTGCGTGAGTGTCTGTTGTTGAATCTATTCCTGCAATTTGATAAAGAGAGACATACAAGTGATAATTACGGTCCCGTGCACCACTGCACTTGAGTTCTCGGTTACACGGTCTCACGAGGTCTAGATATATGTCAAGCTTTCAGTGTGAACTGTGTGTTTATGAATATACAAGTGCATCCTGTTAAATATGAGAGTATTCTATGCGTGAATTCTACTCTAACACGTGTTGATGGTATATGAGTAACTTGGTTGCAACATTCACCTAAAGCGCACATCCCAACTGTGGTTACCTCCCTTTACTCCGTTATACAGTACGTGTGGTCGGTTATCTTATTCTTCACCAGGAACGTCACGACAGACTTATGACCGTCATCTCGCATGCTTGAACATAGTCGTACTTCAATACAGACTTATGGAGGTCACAACTCGCATGCTTGAACATAGACGTACTTCAATACAAACTTATGGAGGTCACAACTCGCATGCTTGAACATAGTCGTACTTCAATACAGACTTATGGAGGTCACAACTCGCATGCTTGAACATAGTCGTACTTCAATACAGACTTATGGAGTTCACAACTCGCATGCTTGAACATAGACGTACTTCAATACAGACTTATGACTGTCATAACCCGCATGCTTGAACATAAATCAGTCGTTTAGGTCAATATATACTTTGCCACAACGTGATGTTCTCATAGGCAACAACTGTAGTGCCTCCCAGCAGTTCCTCAGCAGTTTGACATGTTCACTGGCTGAAGACTGTCATATACCTAGTAATTGCTGTCTTGTACATTTATGATTCCGATGACCAAAGGTAGATACGATATTGAACTTTTTGGGGTCATATTGTATTATCGGAATTGGTAATTTGATTTGCACATAGAAGTAGAGCTACATGCATGATCGAAACCGAAAACATCCCGATCGACGAATGTCTGAAATAATAAGAACGCTTTACAGAATACATAGTGCTACATCTCGTATGGTACTAATTATCGCTATTTAACCCTGGGAATTCGTTAGGAAAGATGTTTGAGGATGTTGTTGAGGATGACGAAGGTATTTGCTGTTCCAGTGACGGTGCCCGGATGTGTGGGGTGTTCTGCAGCGTCCTGAACACCATCAGTAGACTTAAGCTGGACTCAGTGGTGGACATCTATCTGACCATCAGAGAGCTGCAGTTTGCCAGGCCACAGTTTATACAGTCTTTCGTAAGTGTAACATGAATAGAGACCCATCGGTGTGTCCGTTACGGTCACCTGTTACAGTCATGTGAGGTCACCCCTCAAAACAAAGCTAGGACACTGACGAAATCAAACACCTTCAAAGTAGAAATAAACTTAAGCCATCATCGAAAGACAAAAGACATCATCGAAAGACATCACTACTAATAGGGCCGCCTCCGTGGTGTAGTGGTTAGTGCGTCCGCCCGGAGAGCGGAAGGTCGCGGGTTCGATCCCCGACCACGTCATACCAAAAGACGTTAAAATATGGTACTTGTTGGTCCCTGCTTGGCGCTCGGCATTAATGGGTACAACAAGGACTGGTCGGCTCGGAGTCAGTATAATGTGTCTGAGTGGGGTATTCATGCTTCACTGCGGCATGGTATCTCAGTGTTCTAGCACTATAAAACCAACTTAAGCCTGGGCTAGTACAAGCAGCCGCACTTACACACGCATGCACGTCGTCATATGAGCGAAATATTCTCAAGCAAGACGTTAAACCCAATTTCACCTCACCTCACCTTACTACTAATGGACGAAACATGATTTCTTAGGGCGTACACTGCAAAAGGTGAAAATGATAGGAATGGATCTCTGACGAATTCTGACACCCGGTGTTCGTAATTATTGCAAACATCTTCAAGCCTACTGGTAACAACGACACTCACACAAATTTCAAGAAATGTAATCGTTTTCCTGCTAATATCAAAGAAAATGGTGCACTATTAATTAAAACTGTGACTAACATGTGCACCTATACTTCAATAAAAACATGTAATAGTAATATATGGATGTAACGAATATATAGAGACATATACTTAATGTTCATTAATCATTATTCATATAGGAGTAGATGTAAGATATGCAAGTAATTGAAAAAGCTACATGTTATATAGTGTAAAATTCATTATGTGTGAGATCTACGAAACAGTGTAACCTCTGATTGAGGCTTTCAGAAATCAGTATGTATAAATGTATGCAGTATATACTTTGTGGCCTAAAATCAAAGAAAACGATAAAGGTAGAACGCATGAAATGCTAGTAGCAATGTGGCCATATTAATATTTGGAGCCGGTATCATCCCGTAAGCAAGTAAAGTACTACAGGGCCTAGATTTTCGAAGCTCTCTTAGCGCTAAGATAGTCATAAGTTAATGTTAATTTATGGCACTTACGACTATCTTAGCGCTAAGAGAGCTTCGAAAATCTAGGCCCAGGTAAATAGGAAAAACTATGGATCCGTAACAGGCCATATGCCAATTTACGTTACGTAATTTAAACCAAAGTTATCGTGTGGAGTTGGTCGAGGATTGAATTGTACAGAGGCACGACCATGAAACCAAAGGGTCCAACGTAAGCTGATGTCGGCGCATGTCGGCCTTGGGACTGGTATCCACAGGAAGTATGTTAATACAAGCAACGGCGTTACCTCAGCAGCGCAACCGAGCAACCAGAGCTTTTGTTGTCATAGAATAGGTAGAGCAAACTGTACGTGACTCTTCGTTTGTAATATAAATTGGTTCATGGACGATCAGAAGTTAACACGTATTAGTTTTTAATATCGGTCATTTGAAGACACTGGACTCGTGATGCCAGGAAGGATTCACATAGCTCTGTACTTGGATAGCTTAACGGAAAGATGCGGCTATGAGCTTACATTAATATACGCCCATACAGGAGATGTAATTTAATCTAGTAAACTGAAGAGCAGGATTACGTTGGGCACCTGTCACGATATTCTGGTTGTAAGAATCTGTCCCTTCGCGAATGATGGCGTAAATGTCTGTTTGAAGGGCTTCCTTGATAATACCATAATCCATATAGCAGCACTTTCTATGTTTCATAGGGCGGTGGGGTAGCCCAGTGGTTAAAGCGTTGGCTCGTCACGCCGAAGATCCGGGTTCGAATCCCCATAGGGGTACAATGTGTGAAGCCCATTTCTGGTGTCCCCCGCCATGATGTTGCTGGAATATTGCTAAAAGCGGGGTAAAACTAAACTCAGTCAGTCAGTCTATGTTTCATAGCCGCCATATAGCTGGAATATTGCTGAGTGCGGCGTAAAACTAAACTCACTCACTCACTCATTCTATGTTTCATAAATGATGAGTGTGCTGATATAAAACATTGCTTCTCTGTCACAAAACCTTCGTGTACATCCATCATATATATATACTTTATTATGTAGTGTAACATATTAAATTATGCGTAACTTGAACGAGATAGAAAAACAGGAATGACTGACGTATATAAATTGCGGTCATTCACGTAAGTATAAGCATCAGTACCTTACCGTCAAGTAACCGATTATATAGTACATTAAGAAGACCATCCATGTTTACCAGACTATGGTCATATATATCTCCATTTTTCATCTATGAGATCATAAACAGACTTAAGTAATCTTTGGTTGACAATAATATTATGTTGTACTATACGTTTCCATGCTTATCGGCAATACGTAAACAGTATCGTCAGGTTCTGTAGAGGCCCTTTCACAAACAATATACCTGCGAGAGCGTAAACGTTCAATTCGCCTATTTAGCTTTATTCATCCCTGTAAGAGCCGATGCTTAGTGTTACGTAGGCCCCAACACACTCTGCTTGTCTCAATAGGCGACACAAGGAGGATGTGGTTGTACCTGTCGTTGGCTGGCTGAATGTCATCGCGCCCCGGACAGCTTGAGTAGAGATCCAGAAAGCGTTCCTAGCGCTGCGACATTCATAAGCCTGTGATAAACTACATGGTCGTAACTTTACGAACGCTTTGTTGATCGGGACCTTGGACCGTCACTTGTGGTATAAACCACTGGTTTGTCTGGTCCAGATTCGAATATTATAGACCGCGTTCATCTGCCTGGAGAATAGAGCGGTTTTCAATACATAGAGTTAATAGGCTGAAACGTTCGTAAAATATTCACAAACGCATTCCAGAAAGCGCGGGTAATTTGCGAATACGAACTCCTGCCCGTCGAGCAGTACCTACACTGACTCAATAATGAAACACGCTCGGGTTCGGATAACGGTCTGGTAAAAATACAGCCTGGAATAAATGCATATTGTCTTTACACTCAATCTAATTCACGTGAAATGTCCCAAAGGGACATGGACGCAATCAATCTTACTGCGTGAAGCATTGAGAAGTGTAACATTGTGAATTGTCTAATATGTGAAATGGAGAAGTGCATCAAACTACTACAGTCATTGTCGAAGCATATGAAACTATGACAACGAGGCCATAGGTAATTGATAGGAGTTACAAACGGGTATAAAGCCAGTAGATGCGAAATGTCAACGCCAGAGATTACCCAGTCTCGACGAAATAGATTCCTTTGCGCATCAGCAGGAACGTGTGGTGAAGCTTACATGAAAGGAAATCAGTTATGACACCGGGTGTTCTCAGAAAGGTTCTACACTACCGATAGCACAATTTGTTACACAATTTGTATGAACATATATACTACAGATATACTACTATATGTCTTTTGAAAAAACAACAGATGTCAAGCTAAGGATCAGAAATCCAGTCACAAAAGACTACTTTACAGAATTTGATTAAAGATGATATGCACATTTTCACTTAGGTCTGTTGTGCGCACATGCACGTATTTATGACATCAAGTAGCACTTATAGAGTGTTTTCTATGTTTAATATGCAACAGTCATAGATCAGCCTTTTACACTGCAGGTTGAATACCAGTACTGCTACGACATGGCAAAGGAATACATCCGGTCTGAGAACGTTTAGTGCCAACTAGGAACAAGTGTTCAGCGCCTGTGACAATTAGGAATCTGTGTATGATGACTGAATAAAAAACACACACACACGCACGCACACACGCACGTATTTACAAACACTACTTTGTCACTATCTATTTCTTATGTGTTTCCTCTGTTGACCTTCGTTATTCGTTATTTTACAATGTTATTATGATATTCTCTCATTGACACATACAATTTATATTGATACATACAACTCTGTTGACCTTCGTTATTTGTTATTTTACAATGTTATTATGATATTTTCTCATTGACACATACAATTTATATTGACACATACAACTCTGTTGACCTTCGTTATTTGTTATTTTACAATGTTATTATGATATTCTCTCATTGACACAACAATTTATATGCTTCTGTTATATATATATATATATATATATATATATATATATATATATAAATTGTATGTGTGACTTGTGTGTCTTGTGACGATATATATATATATATATATATATATATATATATATATATATATATATATCGTCACAAGACGATTAAGAACAAATATTATTTTTACAATATTTTTATTGAATGTTTCTAATGTTAGCAGCATGGTTAATATAGCAATAATTATTTGTTACAATTTATCTTATACCTGTTTTGTCCTGTTTTTACTTTTATTTAAACAGATTATTCATGTGTTTGCTTGATTGTGTTTTCCAGTTTATTCTCATCTGAAGCAGATGTTCATTCTTTCTTTCGTAATCATAGACCAGTACTTAAACGATATTCAGATTCCTAAATTGGTGAGGACTTTTCAAAAAGAACATTACACTACATTGCAAAGCATATGTACCTACAAAACATATACACAAATGTTTCGTAGACGATATTAAACATTATGTGAAACAACGAACCTATTGTTGATATACATGTACAGGATACCGCGAAAGTGGAGGCATCTTATGTGTCTTCGGGTTTCATCGTGTATGTTCATGTCCCGAGTAATTAGTTTATGGACTTAAAATTGCATTGTTCCTTATCAACGTATAGATGTATGCTAGATGTGCTTCTCAACGAAGGGAAGAACTAGGTCAGAGGAGTTATGTCTCTTTTGTTCCACGACGTTGCATGAAGGAGATTGCTGGATGCTGTAGGTTGCTCTCGCAATCAGTTTTCTTTGTCAGGGTTCTAAGTCTGTGAGGGGCGGTGGGGTAAAGCGTGCGCTCGTCACGCCGAAGACCCGGGTTCGATTCCCCACAATGATACAATGTGTGAAGCCCATTTCTGGTGTACCCCGCCGTGATATTGATAGGAATATTGCCACAAGTGGCGTAAAATCATACTCACTCGCTCACTCACTCTAAGTATGCGAGTCCTGATGACAGCCCGGCAGTTTATATTGCAAACATTGCTTCTATTGTAAAAGTCAATGACGTGCAATGGCGCCCTGGGGCCACCAATTTACCATGTAGGTAGATACAGGTAGGTCTGTAGGTAGATTGTAATTCATGACATATATCCCTCTGACCACTGTAGCTATTGAAATGTACGAGAACACAGTCTATTGTTGATAACTGACATGCCTCAAGGAAGTACATACTTTACAGAAATATATAGATATAATATATGATAATAACAGGTGTCATCTTTCAGTTTATTATGCATTGTTACTTTACGTTTTGTTGTTTTCTAATTTCATTTTACTTAACTGATTTATCTTTGATATCGCCAATGCTGAGGCAATTTGTATTTCAAACTATTTTTATATAGATATTCATTTTACATTTTTTCTATTTGATGAAATATTTAATGACAATAAAACAGTACGCTTATCTTTATGTGTATAGTGATGATGTTTGTAATACTTTGGAGTGAATGTTTGTAATTATATGGCACAAAACCATTTCTGTAGTGAGGTGAGGTGAGGTGAAATTGGGTTTAACGTCTTGCTTGAGAATATTTCGCTCATATGACGACGTGCATGCGTGTGTATGTGTAGGTGGGGCGGCTTGTATTAGCCTAGACTGAAGCTGGTTTTATAGTGCTAGAACACTGAGATACCATGCCGCAGTGAAGCATGAATACCCCACTCAGACACATTATACTGACTCCGAGCCGACCAGTCCTTGTTGTACCCATTAATGCCGAGCACCAAGCAGGGACCAACAAGTACCATATTTTAACGTCTTTTGGTATGACGCGGTCGGGGATCGACCCGCGACCTTAAAAAAAGCAGTGACCATTGCCTGATTCTGACTAATAGTCATGAGAGTCAACGTGTTCACGAGAGGCGGTGGGTTAGCCTAGTGGTTAAAGCGCTCGCTTGTCATGAGGAAGACAAGGGTTTGATTCCCCACATGGGTACAATGTGCATGTCCCTCGCCGTGATACTGGTGCAGTATTGCTAAAAGCGACGTAAAACTAAACTCACTCAATCAAGGTTTTCACGAACCTGAGCGTATCCAGTTGACACCCATCAGAGGCACATGTAACGGCAAGTCGAATTATCATACAAAATATGAAAAATATGTAGTGTTTACATGTCTACCATAATAGGACTGTTGGGGTGTATACATATATATAGTGAGACATATTGTAGGTGTGATGTATGAATGTGTATCATGTGATGTGTCGTTAGTGTGATGTATGAATGTGTATCATGTGATGTGTCGTTGGTGTGATGTATGAATGTGTATCATGTGATGTGTCGTTGGTGTGATATACGAATGTGTATCATGTGATGTGTCGTTGGTGTGATATACGAATGTGTATCATGTGATGTGTCGATGGTGTGATGTATGAATGTCTATCATGTGATGTGTCGTTGGAGTGATGTATGAATGTGTATCATGTGATGTGTCGTTGGTGTGATGTATGAATGTGTATCATGTGGTGTGTCGTTGGTGTGATGTATAAATGTGTATCATGTGGTGTGTCGTTGGTGTGATATATGAATGTGTATCATGTGGTGTGTCGTTGGTGTGATGTATAAATGTGTATCATGTGATGTGCCGTTGGTGTGATGTATGAATGTGTATCATGTGATGTGTCGTTGGTGTGATGTATGAATGTGTATCATGTGATGTGTCGTTGGTGTGATATATGAATGTGTATCATGTGATGTGTCGTTGGTGTGATGTATGAATGTGTATCATGTGGTGTGTCGTTGGTGTGATATATGAATGTATCATGTGATGTGTCGTTGGAGTGATGTATGAATGTGTATCATCAGATGTGACCTTTGTATGATATATGAATGTATCATGTGGTGTGTCGTTGGTGTGATGTATGAATGTGTATCATGTGATGTGTCGTTGGTGTGATATATGAATGTGTATCATGTGATGTGTCGTTGGTGTGATGTATGAATGTATCATGTGGTGTGTCGTTGGTGTGATATATGAATGTGTATCATGTGATGTGTCGTTGGAGTGATGTATGAATCTGTATCATTAGATGTGACCTTTGTATGATATATGAATGTATCATGTGGTGTGTCGTTGGTGTGATGTATGAATGTGTATCATGTGATGTGTCGTTGATGTGATATATGAATGTGTATCATGTGATGTGTCGTTGGTGTGATGTATGAATGTATCATGTGATGTGTCGTTGGTGTGATATATGAATGTTTATCATGTGATGTGTCTTTGTTGTGATATATGAATGCTTATAATGTGATGTGTCGGTGTGATATATGAATGCTTATCATGTGATATGTCGGTGTGATATATGAATTCTTATCGTGTGATGTGTCGGTGTGATATATGAATGTTTATCATGTGATGTGTCTTTGTTGTGATATATGAATGCTTATCATGTGATGTGTCGGTGTGATATATGAGTTCTTATAATATGATGTGTCGTTGGTGTGATATATGAATGCTTATCATGTGATGTGTTGGTGTTGGTGTTGTGATGTATGAATATGTGTTGTTTATCATACAAAATTACAGCTAATTATTTGTAAATAATCAAGTCTGGACCAGACAACCGAGTGATTGACTGCATGAGCATCGATCTAAGCACTTGGGATACGATGACAGCGAGCCTGACCGCCCGATGCCGTTAATCGTCTCTTAGGAGTAACAGTAAAAGTTGCCCTGTATTGATAGAAGTCACAGCCCGGTTTTGAAAGATTCCGTTGTCTCTGTTCTGGCTTCTTAGCATGATCTTAATTAGTGAACAATAGACAAACTCAGCAAGGACACATAGGCTCGCGTTAGTCCAGAACATATTGGATTTGTCAACACAAAAATAAAGGAAATGAGAGTACGACATATCACAAGCTCAACAGCGGAGCAACGAGGTCAGCTGAGGAGAAGAAGATGCGGAAGATGTGTGGATGGGATAGGAAGAGGAGGAGGGCGTTGGGGGAGATTTGACTATGACACATGGTCATAATAAGTGAGAGATATCGGAAACACTGCTGGTCTCAGCAGCTGGAGGGAGAGAGAGAGACTGTCACTGGTGTCTAGCCATGGCGTGTTTGGATGGTGTCATCTTGATTTTTCTGTTCTGCGGATTTCTCCAAGCAGAGGGTGAGTGATATGCTAACATGGGTTTTCTCCAAACACAAGATCTGTACATATACCTACATGTTGTGTTTTCAAATCTCAGTGTTGCGCATCAAGCCGAGTAAAGTAAAATATAACAGAAAGTGAAGTACACTTTACAGCATCATACGAAATCTCTGCTAAAACACATCCGTTGCTTGGGTTTCGGGTTTAGGAAGCACTAACAATTATTGATGGTACCAGGTGTTTTCAAAAGGCCAATCAGTAACTGTCACAAACACACGCACAGGCTGGTTAATCACCTGAAAGAACACGGAGATGTCTGGCTCACGTCACACCAAGGACAAGTTCACTGATCAGTAACATCAGGACAGGGAAATAAACAAGTTCATTATTAAAATAGTTAAATAAGAAATAACTAAATTTGAATTGGAAGCGTGTGTATATATCCTTGTAGGTAAATTTCCGCCAGGTCCTGTATGAGACCCAAACTTTCATATAGACGGCCCCGATATCTGTGTGTAAAAGGTACGTTTTGAAGGACAGTGGGACTGCCAAAGTTCGAATCCCCATTTCTAAGGCTACATATATGATTGGTTGGAATATGCTCCAATGAACCGTATTCGGGCAGGTCTAATGCTGCAGCTGAATCACTCGTTGAGATTTTTCATTACTTTAGGTTGTGATTTGTCGCAAAGTAGCATACCATGAATGCATTAATTGTGATACATATTAGAATGTGATATCTCACTGTGATTTGGAACTTACTAACATGTCAGGTTTAGCTTACACGGAATTAATAATCAACTAAAGCTTACTACCTCAAATGTATGGCTATTAGTTAACTTTTGATTCAGTACCCGTGAAGATCCGGGTTAGATCTGGTTTTCAGTAACCCATGCTTGTCGTGAGAGACGACTAACGGGATCGGGTGGTCAGGCTCGCTGCCTTGGTTGACACATGTCAACATCCCAGTTGTGCAGATCGATGCTCATGCTGTTGATATTCACTGGATTGTTTTCACTGGGAAACATGACATTTAAAATGAGAAACATGATATGCATATATAAAATTTGTTTATTTGCCCTGCTTAAAGTGTGCGCCAGTAAGATGTGATTTTGTTTTTACCGCCAGTATGTTTGCTTTAACTGGGAGTAGCATGTTTTCGTTCAGAGTAAGAGCAGTAGTTTTACATCGGATGTGGGTACACAGAGGAAATGGCTGCTCGACTTTGCAGGCAGATCACAGTGTCATTTGTCAACATGTCATATTAACTGTGTGTACAGTACAGTTAGTCATCAGATAACCATAGAGGCCACCATCCTTTCCACTATATTAGAATGAAACAGTGATAGAAACATTTGGTTGGTATTTAGTTACAGCATCCATGTTGGCTTAAACAATTGTGAATTGGTATTAAGAAAGATATTCAAATTATTTTAAGTCTGTCAATTGTTTTCATGAAATTCACACATTTTAAACTTACCAGTATAAGCAGATTTTCCTTTTTAGTTTCTGAAAAATACATTTGTATTGGACTAAAAAACAACCTTACAGCATTTGTTACGGCGAGATATTTAAAGGAAAAGTATACACCTTTCAGTCAATCTTGTTCCACCATAATAAGAAGTAGTACTTAAACCTGACGAGGACACATTTTCCGTAAACGATACAGATGAAATATTCGCTTATGTAATATAGACGACCAACACGCAAATTATAAGTGAGTGAGTTTAGTTTTACGCCGCACGCCGCTATATGACGGCGCAAATTATGAGCAAAGCACAGATTCTTGCAAGAGTCTAAATATGTTTGATAGGAGAACTTATCTGTGAGGACAGACACATTCGCAGTACTGAAGAAAAATGTTCGCTGAGGGGATTATCAGAGTTCCGAAACATATGCTTGTTGGTTCGAATCTCATTTCATCCTCATTCTATTACTCAGTTTTCCAACACCAAACAACATCATGCCTGGATGTTTTTCAAGGTGCTAAACGCAATTCCAACCAACACGCTGAAGACAAAATAGATTATATATCAGTGAAAAAAGATTTTCACATGTAACTCATTCTACAAATATATAAATCATTGTCAAATAGTAATGCGGTAACATAAAAACTCACTCACCCACTCACTCACTCACTCTTGTATTGACTTTCAGCCAAGTACACATGTCACTGTAAGACACAGTGTCCTGCGGTGCCGAACAACCGCCCGTCAGCAGTTTGCCAGGAAGGATGCGCGCGTGGGTTCTACGGAATGCACTGTCAGAACCGTGAGTAGTGGGAAGAGGGTTGTGTCCATATTGTACTGCTACAAGCTTCTAGTAATATCCAATATGTGTAACCTCTGACGCATGTTTGTGTCAGATTACTATCTGCTTCGTCACCCAAATGTTTGACCATGCAGACCCTGTCACTTGTGACGTTTTGTTCAGCGTAACTGTAGTTGCTGTGTCAGGGTGCTGTGATATTCGCTGTCGCTGTCACCGCCAACCACGCTGTCGCTGTCATCACCACCACGTTGTTAATATGCGTACAGTCACAATCATGTCCGATCTTACCGTCAACAAACACAGTTAACACACATCCCCTTGACTGCCATCGCCCCATCACACACCCATCAGGTTCCTCACCACACCGCATGGTGCCATCATCACCAATTTCACTATTACCCACCACACGTATACAGTAAATGCCTCAAACTTGACTGTCATTGCCCCATCACACACCCATCAGATTCCTCACCACACTGCATGGTGCCATCATCACCACCTTCACTATTACCCACCACACGTACACAGTAAATGCCTCAAACTTGACTGTCATTGCCCCATCACACACCCATCAGATTCCTCACCACACCGCATGGTGCCATCATCACCAACTTCACTATTACCCACCCACGTACACAGTAAATGCCTCAAACTTGACTGGCATCATCTCCCTCGATTACCACCACATCCACAGTTAAAAATGAAGCATACAGCTATCTGGATGACAACGTCTCCTTTATTGCAAATAAGAAGTTGTCATCCATAAAGTTGTATAATATCACTTTTGACTCAACAACTTCAGAATGCCGATCAAACAATAACATCCACAGTTACAGTCACAAACGCGACTTCCACCCTATACCCACGTTGACATCCTCAAATATACAACCTAGTGGTTAAAGCGTTGGCCCGTCACGCCGAAGACCTGGGTTCGATTCCCCACATGGGTACATTGTGTAAAGCCCATTTCTGGTGTCCCCCGCCGTGATGTTGCTGGAATATTGCTAAAAGCGGCGTAAAAACAAACTCAGTCAGTCAGTCAGTCAAATATACAACTCACTAATTTGGTGTTTTCAGAAAATGTTGCTCTGGAAAGGAGAGCTTCGCAAATTAGTACGTATACAGATTTCCTGAGGCGATTCGGGAAACTGGGTAAAACTATCCCAAACACACCGGAGAGGGCCGTCGACGGAAACGCTAATACATTCTACTCACGACGTTCGTGTACACACACAGGCTTAAACGAGACAGCTCCATACTGGACTGTGGATCTTGGTCAAGCGTATGATTTGTACAGAATGGTCATATACCACAGGAGTACACGTGAGTGGAATAACAGTCATAACGTCGCCATTTATGTTTCATTTCACGTCAATAAAAGGCCAAGTAAATATGTTTCAGAACATAAGAAATTAATTTGATTAATTTGGATTAAAATGAATAAAATGTATAGTATGACGGAAAAAGTGACGACTATATGTTCACATAACACTCTAAAGCATGAGTACCTTCTCAGACGCTCTGGGTCGAAGATTCAAGTTGAGGTGCATTTGCTCCACAGCGACATTTCATGTTACCCCTCTACTCTGTTGCAATCGTTTTATTCACATTCCACAACTTCCATATTCTAAAGAACGTTTGTTATTAATAAACAATTGTTTGTTTTGAAGTAACCGAACGCTTGAGTGGCTTCGAGGTGAAGGTTGATGGCAGAATGTGCTATCGATGGGAAAGCAAAGAGGCCCCCCACCCATTCGGATAGCCCTTAACTGCTTGCAACCAATGAGAGGTCAAAACGTCACAATAGACTTGCCAAAGAGGGAAGACGGCGCCTTACAGATTCTCACGTTATGTGAAGTTCTTGTGCTCGGTATGTTGAGTTGTAACGGTTGGATTACTAAGGTCTAGCTTCAACCTTCTTGCGAAGACGTGCATCAGTGTGGCGGAACAATATTTTCGCTGGTTAGGAAGAAAACATATGTTCAATTGGGAGATACATTTTGTTATTTAACATTTTAAAAGTGACTATAAATAGTGTTGGGTCAACTCTGCTGGGGCTGCCACTGGAGTCCCCTTAACATGACACATACGATTGCATATAGTTCTTTGCCTTCCAAACACAAAGTGCAAGCAAATTCAAAATCATTACATGAAACCGTAACAAGGGTCACACCGTGATGATTCGGGTCACAACTGGTCTTGAGCACCCCACGTTTGACCCCAGTGAAGATCACATTTAGAATTGGTCTTCGGCAAACAAGGGGAATACCAACCCCTTAGTGATCGGCTCGTAGTCTTGGTGTACCAATTCGACTGTTGAAGCGTTGCACAACTAACAAAGTTGGGTTTGTCTGTTTCAGTGTGCAATGACTACTGGTTCGGGGTTCAGTGTGAGGAGACCTGCCGCTGTCGAGACCCCCCTGGAAATATGCAACAAGGTCACGGGTCACTGTGACAGCGGATGCGCTAGCGGCTATGTGGGTGACGACTGTCAACAAGGTAGTTGTCATAAGTACATGTAACTGTGCCCATAATAATTGGTTATAAACTAATTACACGCATCAGTATAAACATCAGCATTTGTTGTATTGGTGTATGTGTTGCTTATTGCAACAATCAGTACACTGAAAGCTCTAACCATCGGAATAATAGAGTAGTTGTAGCTCTAACTAGTGGAATAGTAAGTGTAGCTGTGGCTCTAACCAGAGGAATAGTAAGTACGGCTGCAGCTCTATCCTATCTCGTGCAGATTAGACCACGACTTAGTACTTTGGTTTGTTGTAAATAAGAAACCAGATTTGCTTGTAAATCGACTACGGACATAGTAGGTTTCGTTTTGCTAATTGTGAATTGGCAGTTAGTTCGGCAGAAAACAACATTTTCAGTTTCAGGAACCAACCAGGGCTCATCGATAGGTCCAGATCCAGGTAGTGAGTACATTACCATTTGTTATGGTCCTCTCATTAATCAGCTGTTAAGTCAAAGTACAGCGACCTTACAGCAACGTGTTAACATACACAGTCATGAATAATGCGTTAGAAATCTAAAAACCAATCATGGGTTGTGTACTACACTTGAAAACACAGTTTCACTTGCTTAAGAATCTCGGAATATGTTATAATCAGATTAGATTAAATGTTTACAACTTCTATTTTTACAGAATTAACGGTATAGTTTTATATCTCTGATGTTACAATATTTCACCAACCAGTACTGTCTTACTCTTCCTAAAATAGTCACATTACTACAGAACACAATAGAACAATGAAGTCCTTTGCAGATTGTTTGTAATATATCTTACGTTTAAATATATATCGTATGATACTGATAGATTGTGTTTGCAGGAACGAGCCAGGCCACGGCTACAGAGTTAATGGGAGGAGCTACTCCAAACCCGGGGTCGAACAACGATGGTGGGGATATAACGAATATACCGACAGGTGGTGAGTGCATTAAGCGTTATAATGTGATGATACGTTATGAGTGATAGGACTAATAGACTTTATCAGTAGTAATGAATTGATGACAAGGTGTTGGTTTTTTGTGTGTTTTATTGTGATAGCAAGTGATACAATATTCATACAGCGGGATAATACACACAACACATATATTCAAGCTGCGGGATAAATGGGCGACGACATGATTAGTGGGTGTATGAATAAGGTACAAAGAAAAAGGTATAGGGATATAGGAGAGTAAGAAAATAGAGGAGAGAAAGGATGGTATGATCAAACATTGGTTTGCGTCCATCTATATTAGTAAAGGGGGCCATTGTTCGGCAAATTTAGTCTTGTCTCCAGAAATGAATTTCTCTATGTTGTGATTATATTTTGTTAGCTGTAATAATTGGGTAAATATGGGAATAGTCTTATTGTTATGACAAGTTTTAATATAACGTTTGGTTATTATAAAAAGGTGGTTTTCAAGGATAGTCAACTTTGAATCGCCAAGAAGGAAATTATTCATATTTAAGACTAATTTTAAATTGGTTCTACTTTCATACCAAAGTTTGAACTCATTTATCATAGTTTGAACTTTTCGACAGGAAAAACATAAATGTTCTAGTGTTTCACTTTCTGATTGGCAAAATGTACAAAGGTTATCCTCTATCGGTCCTATTGTGTAAAGAAATGATTTTAATGGTATGATACGATGGATGAGTTTATATTGGAAATTCCGTATCTTGTTATCCTCAACACAATTTCGAATTTTATTAAAACATTGGGACAGGTAATTTGCTTATATATGTGCATCCAACCTTTGAGTTCCATTTAGAAGTAAGATCTTGAAGAGAAAAAATACCATCATCATTACGAATCAGTTTATAGATAAATTTACAATCTAGTGATGAGATAATGTCCCTGAGAATCTTACAATTAATATTTAAATTTGTTCTATTAACCGGGTTATCTTTTGATAATTTAATCCATGTGTTGGGTATGAAACTTATCAGTCTGAAATAAGAAATGAAATTATCATTTAATCTGAAGTCGTATTTCAATACATTAAATTCTTTTAAATGTCCTGAATCAGTCATTAGGCCCCGAATATGTCTAATTCCACACTGATACCATTTGATATATAGTTTAAAATCTTTATAAGGAACAAAACTCATGAAAAGGAGATTTCTGAATTCGTCAATATTCCTAATCTCAGAAGTTTACAACTCAAATATAAATAGTTAAAATATCTTTCCAAAAATCGTTCTTAATGTCTTTAATTAGCTTTTTTAATTGTGCTTTGGGAAATTCAGGATATCGATATTTTATAAGTTTACCATCGAACATCGTGCCAAGTGTTGCCTGGTTATTTTTGTGTTTATAATTACAAGTATCATTGTAATAATCTTGCACCACGTTCCAGTCTCCACCCCAAACTATTGATCCTGAAAGTTTACTCAATTCATTAGCAAGATCCTCGTAAAATTCTGGTGAATCGATATTTGGTCCATAAATATCTATAAGCGAAAAACGAATGTTTTCTATAGTAATGTCAAGAATTATGAAACGGCCATTATCATCTACAATTATTTCATGCATATGATACTCGAAGATATTATTTATTAGAACCATACCTCCTGAGGTTTTACTTGTACCGTGTGAATAGTGACATCTATAACCCCATGCTGCCGCCCACATTAGTTCATCATCTACTGTGCTATGAGTTTCTTGAAGGAATATAATTGACGCTTTTTTTACTGCGGACAAAGTTGAATATATCTCTGCGTTTGAAAATTGATGACAAGGTATTCTGTATGAACTACACTTTCTCCAACAGAAACTGTTGTTACGAACGTTTCATCTATAATTCGAAACTTTACAGTTTTTCTTACATCCTACTTGTAAAATAACAGACGTGGAAGTCAATGTTATCTTACAGAACAAGATACGCTTCAGGTCCTTTACCAACGTTTGTTGTGTTATTGTTTTTCAGGGCAAATAACAGCTATAACCTTTGCCGTTATCGTCGCCATGGTAGCTGCTGTTTCATCTCTCCTCTACTTTCTGAGGTAAAGATGCTGTTGATCACTGGATTGTCTGGTCCAGACTCGATTATTTACAGACCGCCGCCATATAGCTGGAATATTGCTGAGTGTGGCGTAAAACTACACTCACTCACTGTGAGGTAACTTATATAAACAGAACAAGGGGGATTCCCCCCCCGGTGGATTGACAATGTGATCATTTATATACTGATTTCTAAAAGAAACGCAAATATTACTAATGTTAGAAATTACATGAATTAAGTCAAGGCGAAGTAGAGAGTTTTCGATGCTCAGATTGTCAGTCCTTGTTGGAACTGATGATACCCAAGTGTCTGCTGATGGAGGCGATACTCGACAATGAAATGCCATTTTCCTATGACGCTACGAAAAGTATATGATTAACATCATCACAAAACACGTCTCGTTGTGCAGATAAACCATTTGTCTGTTCATTTTAAGGACTCGCGTTGTTTTCTTTGCATATTTACATAAGCAAGCATCAAATTGTTTATTTACAACGGTATCACAGTTTTATATGACTTGCGTAACTTTTGGAACTGAGTATATTTATCCTGAACATTATAACAAATGAAATTGCAATTGAAAGATAAGATTTTATTTATCTTTAACTCAGGAAAATGTTCCGTATAAAGTTGTTTGACAAATGGTAATGAAACTGAACAAATCTGGTTACTGTGCTCCGTAAGACAGTCAAGATATAGATTGGTATATTGGTTTCAAAACATCACAGGACGTTGGTTAGGAACAGTTTTCCAGACCAGTGTGCGAAATAGTTTCCAAATTTTGCTAGCCAGTCGGGTTAGCTATGTCTGAAAGTTACTAGCCCACAAAATAATTCACTTGCCCGACACTTGAATGCAGAAACTAAGCCAGAGATATGGTCGGCATGACACGGCTTTCATCATTAAACTGCTAATATGATAAACATTTTTATCAGGTCATAATCTTGCATGATTTAAAAGTGTACTATAACTTAAGAGTGATCTATTTTACAAAATGACCTCAAGAAAATTCACTAGCCAGCAGGGTCAGTGACTGTGGAGATATCCTGGATTTTTACTAGCCATGGGCTAGCGGGCAAGTGGCTATTTCGCACACTGTTCCTGACAATAATTTCGAAAGATATTTCGGCGGGTAAGCGAGACTGGTTAATCTCTGGCATTGACATTTCGCATTAAGCTGCTTCCCCGACAGTCACATGCTTCCTGGTTTGTGTTTCAGATGGAGGGAATCCAAGAGAGCCATGACCCCCGACAGTAACTATGATGACCTCAGCAGACCGGATATTCCCGAACACAGATATGTGACAATGTCAGATGTCGTGCGGAAGCACAGTACAAACTCGGGGGTCAAGGTCAAGACTGATAGCGAGGCTAAATGCAGAGACAGCGAGAATCATTATGACCATGTGATTGACAGCGAGGCCTTTCCAGATGAAAATGGGTATTTGGTTCCTATTGGAGAGACCAGGGCGTCCAGTGTCAATCAGTATGACCATGTGATTGACAGCGAGGCCTTTCCAGATGAAAATGGGTATTTGGTTCCTATTGGAGAGACCAGGGCGTCCAGTGTCAATCAGTATGACTATGTGATTGACAGCGAGGCGTTTCCGGAAGACCAGGGGTATTTGGAGATCAAGGCTCCCAGCGTCAAGAAATAGGGACGCGAGGAGAAGCGGCAGACTTTTCAACGTTGTCACAAGATACATTAACACTGGAGTGATTGAGTGCGTGAGTGAGTGAGTGAGTGAGTGCGTGCGTGCGTGCGTGAGTGCGTGAGTGCGTGTTTGGGAGAATTGTGTTTTACGCCGTTTTTAGCAATATGCCTGCAATATCATCACGTCGGGAGACACCAGAAATGGGCTTCACTCATTGTACCCATGTTGGGTGATCGAACCCGGAGCTTAGGCGTGACGAGCAAACGCTTTAACCGCTAAGCTACCCCACCGCCCCCATGAACACTGGAAGTCTAAATGTACAATTACTGTGAACTGGTTGGTTTATCACGTGGTGTCAGGTTATGGTCACAGAAAAGCCCGAGATGATGCAGGCTTTATCGCCTTGGTCAAACTGACGGTCACGGGTATTGTGCGGAAATCCAAGACTCATAAGAAGGGCGATTCCAGGATTCAACTCTGCGATCAGGATTGTGCAAGCTAAGGGGCCGTAACTCTGTACATCAAACTACGCCGTGGTGGAGCACTTGGACTCCAAGGCCCATGTGTTTATTTTACAGCTTTGGATTGTGATCTAAGATCGCTATGTTTATTTCAGCCGCTCAAAATAATTGTATACAACTACATTGTGTAAATGAAGCTATGTATCATAACTAGCCTTGATGGTATTTCCTAGACAATTTTGTTAATTTGAATGAAGTCACAGCTATATGCAGCTGCGTTATTGTGTTTAATAAGAAAGGTTTTCGTAGAGTAAATTACTTTAACCAGGAACGTGGGTATCATAGGATAACATTGTGTTGTTGTTCAACGCCGCACTCAACAAAACTTTAGCTATATGACGGCGATCTGTAAATAATCGAGTCTGATCAGCAGCATGAGCATCGATCTACGCAATTGGGATACGATGACATGTGTCAACCAAGTCAGCGAGCCTGACCACCCCGATCCAGTTAGTAGCCTTTTACGACAAGCATGGGTTACTGAAGACCAATTCTAACCCGGATGTTTGTGATCATTGCGATTACTCATCAGTAACAAATATGTGTCAGATGAAATTCCCTTTATTCAGTTACAAATGTTCGCGTATTGTTTTCATTGTGACAAATTGAGTTATTATCTTTACATGTGTTTGTGAGCAGGATAAGCTGATCTTTTGGGGAAAACAGTATCAACACTATTGAATAGTTGTTCATAAACACACGCTTCGGATACCGGTGGAATGGTACAATGGACCTTTATAATATTGTCGCTTTTATTTCTTTTAAGGGTGCTTTTATTTGCATTGTGTCACATGATAAGGCACGCCAGGGATCTATAGTCAATATCATAAGCGAGGCTATGTAAACAATCCTGAAATACAGATTTGAATGTTCGTGGAAAATACGAATTCATCTTGAATTAATTTCCCACGGCCTCAGTCTTACAAATACGTATTTTCTCAATGGCGCCTATGGTTGTTTGTCCTTACAGTGGCTGTGTAGGTCGATTCTCATGTTGTCAACCACTTGATTGTCTGGTGCAAACTCGATTATTTTCAGACTGCTGCCATAGAACTATTGCTGTGTACTCCATAATAGTGAAGCTAATTCACGGAGAACTGTAGCCTTAAGCTTGCTCCAACCAGCGACTGGTGTATTGAGCAAAGTCTAACGCTGATGGGGGCCAAGCTGTCGGGGGTCCCGATTCGTGTAGCTTCCTGGTAAATGTGTCCACCCAAACGTTTAAAACTTTGACGAATCCCACAAGTAATAGTACCCTGCAAACGGACTAATCATAAACTGGAAGACAAAGGGGTTCAAAACAGTCTCGAGCAGTTCCTGCTATGATCGAGGTGAGAAACTCTGCAGCGCATTCGGCAAAACGGAAGTGTTATTAGTGTCGACCCGGTAAAGCGAAATTTCAATATTCCCCATTCCCGGTAAAGCGAAAACAAAAGTTGTGCTAGAAGTGCCGCGAAAGCGAATTGCTATGAAAACATCGGATTACCGTACTTCAGATTAGCGCACGACCCCAATACTCGATCTGTTAGCCTCTTAACTGAGATGAAGTTTCAGTTGTTTCACTGACTGACTGACTGAATTTGGTTTTACGCCGCTTTTAGCAATATTCCAGAGCAACATCACGGCGGGGGACACCAGAAACGGGCTTCACAAATTGTACCCATGTGGGAATTCGAACCCGGGTCTTCGGTGTGGCGAGCCAACGCTTTAACCACTAGGCTACCCCACCGCCCTTTCAGTTGTTTCAAGTTTCAGCACTTGATCTATGACAAGTTTCAGCATCGGTTTCGCGAAACGTTTGTGTTTTCTTGTCTGGCATTGCCGACATATCAAATGTGAATCAAACTTTGACAAGTGAAAGTAGTTTTAGGTTGTTATCGCCCTATATATATAACTAACGTAAATTACATTGCGGTAACGTAAATAACGTCAATGAATGCTTAACGATGTAAGTTGTCTATGCACGATATTTTCAATTCCACCTCACCACGATCCATCCATGTGGCTTATCGGTGAACAGTCTGTGGCTCCAACATTTATTGTTATTTATATATTAATTTTTTCTTGTGTATTGAGAGTCCCGGGAACGCGAAATTCAGTGTTAGCTGTAGCTTGACCGTTCCCGTGAAAGCGAAACCTAAATTAAGGAGGTTTAGTCCAGATTTCGCTTTCCCGGGCCATAACCGGGGTATTAGCACCTCTCAACTGCTCTGACATCAGACAAACGGTAAAGTTGGAACTCTCGTTATTAAAACAAATAAAACCGTACATTTCAAAGATATTGTTTATTTCAACAAATAATACAGAGTGAGTGAGTTTAGTTTTACGCCACACTCAGCAATATTGTCGCCATATGGCGGCGTCAACAAATAATACAATATGAAGCACCAAGTCTTTAGCTGTTTGAAGGCCACACTAACCAGCTTAAATATTCATAAAATCATTCTACAAAGTCGACCACAGTTTTCTTATTAACCAAAACTTTCAAGTCATGGCCTATTTACACATCTGTGTCTTTGATGCACTGTGTGCACAATCTATATTCCGAAAGGAATTATCAAAGACTAACCAAGCTGGAAGGTATCACGGATAATCTTACAAGTGAAAAATTGGGGTCCACAACTTATGTGTACATCAATCATGCGTAAGACTTCTTAGCTTATTCATTGTCACTGTAAGCATCAAAACGTAATTGACATTACCGAGACCCCCCCTCCAAATGTTCTGACGACGGAATGTTATCAATGTCACGTCTTTAACGATGGATGATGTCTTACGCTTTTCTGAATTACTATGTGTGAAAACAGCCTTAATGGCTCAATCAGCATTGAGATTCTCCATAAAAAAACACATGCTAATGTTGGATTTTGCTAAAGTCATGTTTGTAGCCACATGCATATTAACATGTGACTGGTAAAATTTTGAGTATATAAACTTTTCATTTCAAAGTCTCACCAATTGGATCATCGAATGTTTCCGAGGGTTGTACGAAATACGCATTATGTCGAAAAGCGCACGTAAAATCTCCAGATCATCAGCATGTTTCCGAGTGTAAAGCGAGGTGTAATAAGTAACGCCTGTAAACAACTTACTGTACATCAGTACAGATGGACGAATGGTATGGCTGAGTGAGTGAGTGAGTGAGTTTACGCAGCTTTTATCAATATTCCAGCAATATCACTGCGGGGACACCAGAAATGGGCTTCACACATTGTGCCCATGTGGGGAATCGAACTCAGGTCCTCGGGGTGATGAGCAAATGCCGTAACCACTAGTCTACCCCACCACCCCGTATGTATGGTGAATATGAGCTACACTGCACACAGCAAATAAACTGATATGATCATTAACAGGTTATTGATAAATGTCCTATGATCTAGGCCGAGGTAGCTGAATGTCAAAGGCACTGTAAATCCATGTACACTGTCAATTAGGCTCAACAGACTCCATTCTTGAACCAGAATTTTCCTGATTATCATTTTTGACAAACAATGGTGCTTGTGTGTTTCAACAAAAGTGATTAACAACAGACATCTCTCACTTGAAGGCACAATGTCACACATTTTCTACAATATTTTGTCCTATATTACATGTATATATATAGGGGCATATGCACATACTGACATATAGCCTTTAGGGGTTTTCTCTAGTATGAAACTAACACACCGTGTAATAACTGTATCAGTGTTGAAAGTGGTCACCATGATCATAGGAAAGGTTACTGAAGACAAGGTAAACTGTATCTCCGAGGTTCCACCTTACAGTATATTTAATGAGCTGTATTCATTATCATAATACCCCACCCCGTATTTGACACTGGGATAACCTGTTCCAAATACCCCTGGTGATTGCACATGTACAATGATAAATACACCACCACTCAACATTAAATAGGATATATACACTACATGAGCATTTGCAGATAACTGGATTAATGGTTATGATCTGCTAGTGTATATCGAAAAAGGCTAGATAAATCTAATTTCTTCATTGATTGTAGAGTAATATATTTCATAACATCACACTTTTTAATAATATGACCATAGGAATGAACAATGATTATCACAGACACAGTATACATTAAAACCAATTCAAGTTAGGTCACAGCAGCTCATACTAATATCCAACCATTGGATAAAAATAATAAAAGTACATGTATAAAAATACCTATTAGGCATCGGGCATTGTACGATAGATCAAGACATCAATCACTACATCCCATATTATAAGACATGAATATAAGTTATGTCATATTGTTTACTTTTAATCATAACTTCATATGGTTTTCTAATATACTGTTTTATTGAAAGACACAAGTCTTGAAACTTCTGTATTCCTCAGGCTAGTTTCCTGACCCTGAAATCCATACATTGTCTATGACACATGATGTAAGTCATGTCTTGAACTACCAATGTCAAACTACCAACCAAAGACTTGCTGTACATTCTTTATGACACATGATATAAGTCATGTCTTTAACTACCAACCAAAGACTTGCTTTACATTGTTTATGACACATGATGTAAGTCATGTCTTGAACTACCAATGTCAAACTACCAACCGAAGACTTGCTTTACATTGTCTATGACACATGATGGAAGTCATGTCTTGAACTACCAATGTCAAACAACCAACCAAAGACTTGCT